ACAATCATTGTGTGTTTGTTTTCCCAAATGTCTGGAAATCTGTCACCAACTCTTTTTGTCTGAAATTCAAGGCTCTTCTCCATAACGTCAGCTACAACCGCATGTTTAATTCTAGTCTCCAGCGGTGATGGCCATTTATTCAACCAAGAAAACTCTTTAATTCTTTATTCAGACACTTTTTAGAGGTCGTTCACCATTGTGTAAGAGTCCCCGTGGTTCTGTTTGTCCTCTCAACCCGCTGCTGCTGGAGGTTGGGAGGCTGCTGGTTGTGTCTGGTGTCCGGCTGGAGATCACTGACTCAAAATGTTCCCCATTTCTTACACCGAGCAAGACACACACACACACACACACACACACACACACACACACACACACACACACACACACACACACACACACACACACACACACACACACACACACACACACGTTTAACGGATGGCTTGCCCTCTTGGCTTGAAGCTGAGCTGAGGGATTCAAAGGAACCTGGGTAATGAGTATCGCTGACTGTATGGGTAAGCTTTTAGGATACTTGGAGTGCACCAACTTTAATTGCAGAAACTTCACAGGTTGTTTCTACGGGGTATTAAAGAGTCTTTAAAGCACAGCATTTGTGAATTTAGAAATAATACCATTAAAGATATTTAAAATACGTGTCACGGCTTGTGGGAGGCGTCTAAAGTAAGACGTGCAGAATCAACACGACAACCAGGGTGAGCAAAAGAAAACACACTTTATTAGTAAAGGGGAACTAAAGGAGCACTGGGAAGACCAGTGAGCGGGTCGCAGGCAGGAGTGGGTCCAGAGCCAGGGTCCAGTGAACAAAAGGGGAAAGTAGTGAGCCAAGGTGACTAGGGGGTCCTGGTGAGGGAGGTGGGTGAGGAAACGGGAGAGGAGAAGGGGCAGGAGCTGTGGAGGAGGATGGGACGTGGTCCTGTGGGTTCCAGAGGGTAGCGGTGGAGATGAGGTAGGTCTGAGAGGTTCCTATGGTGGAGCAAACATACGAAAGATTCAACAGGGCATCCAAGGTCACAAATTCTAAGTTAACGTACAAAAACCTGAGAGCAGGATAAGCTAAGCATAAGTGGCTGGAACTAACGAAACTGTAGCAATCATCCAGCGTCAAGTCGTGTCTCCATCCTCCTTTTATGCCAGGACACCTGATTACTAATCCAGCACGGCTGGTGTCCCCTCCGCTCCTCATCTGTGGGAAAAACCTCAAAGACGTTTTAGAGGAAAGGGAGCACTCACCTCGTCTTGTGACAGAATGCCGTGCTGTATTTTTATACTGAAACGAACACTAAAATGGTTCAAATAAACAAATTTAGGCATCCAATCAGTAAAAACGACACGCACCACAACCTGAACTATGTGGTCGTGTAGGTTCTGTGGAGGAAAATCAGAGAAACCAGCAAAGAGAAAAGAAATGTAAGTCTGGGATCGATCCATGACCAGGTCAGCTGATGCTAAAATAGAGGCTGAAAAAAAAAACACGGTGTTGAAACTAAGGCCTAGTCCACACGTAGCCGGGTTTTTTGAAAACGAATATCCGCCCCTCCAAAAACTTGCATCCACACCACCGCGTTTTGAAAACAAACTCTGTCCACACGTACCCGGATAAATACGTTGTTAAGGACATGCCAGACCTGTAGGCGGCAGTACTTCCCCTGTTCTTAACCTCGTCCTTCGTCTGTGGTCTTCCGCAAGGAGCAGTAATTCTGCTTGCAAAAACAAACAAGCAAAAAGCGCTTGGACAGTTGCTGGAACGGGTAGTGACAGAGCGCAGCTCTGAGGGCTTCCATGATGCCGGCTAGTGTAAACACAGGTCGCACACGTGATGTCGGCATTTTTTTGTCACGGAAAGTGACGTTGCGGACCTTAAAAGTCCGGTTTTGTCTGTCCACACGCAGACACCCAAAACGGAGAAAACGCAGATCTTCACTTTGGCCGGAGTTTTTAAAAAGATCCGTTTTCGTGTGAAAAAACTCCGTTTTCGTGTGGATGACAGGCCAAAACATAGAAAAATATCTACGTTTTGGCATATCCCCGGCTACGTGTGGACAGGGCCTAAGAATGAATGAACTCTTAAAGGCAGGGGCAGCTGCGCTTGTTTCAGGAACTAGCAGAATGCTACGTCAGAGGCGAGCGCATCAGGATCTGGATCTTATTTCCTGATATTTGGACATCTCTCCTCTGATTGGCTAACAGCAACACGACTCTACAACTGACTGTTTGCCCTGCAATTTTGATCTTTTATCTCCACAAATAACACAAGCCTGGAGGAGTTTTGCAGTCTGGTGGCGTTGCTAATGCTAACGGTTAGCTTCTACTAGCAGAGATGTTCTCTGCTGTTTCCTGGACGCTAAACCAACAACAGCCTTCCCCGTCGTGAGTCCTAAGGATCTCAGAGCCCTGCTGGGCGTATATGCCTGAAGATCTTAAAAAGACTTCAATTTAACTCAAAGAAACCGATAGGAACCCTAAAGGAACTAAAAATGTGAGGAGAAAAGAGCCAGAGTTCCCATCACTGTTCTCTACACCAGTGGTTCCCGGCCCAGACAAGCCAGGCCCCCCCAACCCCTACTTCTACCCGCATGCACACAAAACAAAGTAAGTGATTACAAACTTCATACAGACATACAGTTATGCCTCTGTTGCAGAGTTTTGATTGTACTATTGAGTGTGTAACATCACGAAATGGCCTGATTTAGAGATCCCACAGGTCAACTTACCCCTGGCTATGACACAACCTACAATATTCCCCCCTCACAGGAGACTGAAAGTCTGCACGTAGTCCCTTTAATCAGAGCCTACCTTCCTCGCCAGCTGGACTGCAGCTGTGAGAGATAATAAATGATAAACAATAACATTCTCTCCTACCGAGTTCCCCTTTACAGAGGAACTCTTTTAAATAAACGCCCTTATTCCCAGAAGAAAGAAGATTTTATAATTAAAAATAATCATTGACTGGACGTTTGTTATTGCTACTTATAATAATTGTAAAACAATGAAATGTTCATTGATCTGTGCTTAATGATAAATGCTTAGCATGTTTACCTGAAGAAGTCATCACCATTTACACTCACACAAGGACAGAGAAAAGTTAAGTTAACCTTTCACCCAGTTCAGAGCTTCCGAATCAAAGAGGGTGTGTCTCTGAGATGCTTGGTAATATCCTCAAACTTGGCAACTTCTGGTTGGCCATTAATTCATAACATCAATCCATTAAAACTAGTTTACTCTGGTTTTTCCTTCAGTTCGAGAGTTCTGAGCAAACCTCTTTTACCGGCAAGGATTTTGACACGTTGTCAAAACCTTTAACTTTTTTCGCACCTGCGAAGCTGAAACAACAAGATAGTTTCCTGCAGTGCAAAGCTGATGCAAAAGCTCCTTCAGAGTTATTTTTAGGACGCTCGGTTTCATCTATCGTTGTGAGCCGGAGACCTCTCAGGACTGATTTGGTCGCATCGAGGTTTCTTTACGAACCACCTGCATTGGGGTCGTCGGCTCCTTGACATCTCGGATCCAAACAGGGGTCTCCAGAACGGGTGAGGTAGAACACAGCGAGATAGCGTCTGTATGTGGTTTTGATAATAACAACTTTATAGCTTATTTGCAAACCAAAATCTTTCCATCCAGAACTCAGCTTTCTGAGATACGGAGATTCTGAATACATTATATTCACACATGGGTTCCGGACACCATCCTTTAGTTCGCATCCTTTCACAGTAAATACAAGTTTAAACAATTTGTCAAGTCTTAATCGTTTGTAAAATAAATTCTTATTTTGTTTATAAACCTGACCGTTTCTTGAATTAAAACGAAGTGTGTACGATCCCTCAATGAATAAAAAAATCCTAGAATCTTCTGACTAATCATCTTAAGACCAAGCAGGTGATATTCTATATTTATGGGGCGACGGTGGCACAGGAGCTAAGTGCTCGCCCCGTAATCGGAAGGTTGCAGGTTCAAGTACCGCTCAGTCTGTCGCTGTCGTTGTGTCCTTGGGCAAGACACTTAACCCACGTTGCCTGCTGGTGGTGGTCGGAGGGACCGGTGACGCCAGTGCTCGGCAGCCTCGCCTCTGTCAGTGCGCCCCAGGGCAGCTGTGGCTACATCTTAGCTCATCCCCAGCAGTGTGTGAATGTGTGTGTGAATGGGTGAATGACTGATTGTGTTGTAAAGTGCCTTGGGGGGTTCCAGGACTCTAGAAGGCGCTATATCAAATACAGGCCATTTATGTTGAGTGTCACAGCTATTGGTCACAAGTGGTGTTAATAATAATAATAAATTGCTTAAAGCAATTTACTTAACCAAACATACCATTTATTAACATTACAGGTGTGTAATCTGGATTTTATAAATGTAATTTTTACAAATATAATCTTGGTAACCTCAAACCCTCAGCACACGGTGACCCCAGGTTGGGAACCACGGCTGTTTCCAAAAAGCTTCTTCATAAACTCGATGTCATTTATCACTCAGCAATCCATTTAGTCACTGGTGCCCCTTTCACTACTCATCACTGTGATCTGTAGACACTCGTTAACTGGCCATCGCTCCATTCCTGCAGGCTGTTACATCGGCATCAGTTCATATGCAAAACAATCATCGGTAGAAACCGTGATATCTTCGCTCATTACCAGGGGTGGACTGGCCTATCTGGCATTCTGGTACTGTCCCGGTGGGCCGCTTAGCCAAGTGGGCTGCTTGCCCAGCTTGGGCTGACACTACACAGTTGGTGATCTGTAGAACATACATGGTAACCCGAAGCTAACAGAGTTTTTCCAGGCATTTTTAGAAAAAAAAAACCAGTAGAGCGATGAAGTAGGAGTTGTTTTACAACGTTAGCATGTAGCTAATGTCCCGCTGATCTCCGCCTGTGGAGAATGAGCTGATCCGGAAGGCCAGGGCTCCCGGTCGCTGCGGACTGGCCCTGCTTGTAATTTAACAGTCCCAGTCCATATTAGAGACGAGTCCGCAGGCAGCCACACCCCTAACCCCCACCGCTCTCCCAATGGGGAGGGCTGGCAATTCGTAAGAATGCCAGGGCCGAATTTTGGTCCCAGTCCACCCCTGCTCATTACTCCACTTCCAACAACCAGCGCAATTTACGTTCCAGTAGCTTCATCTCTAAAGTTATTCCCAAAGCTCGCACCTCCTCTGGCCGCTCCTCATTCCAGTTTGCTGCTTCCAACGACTGGAATGCGCTGCAAAAAAATCACTGAAGTTCACACGATCCATTATCTACCTTCAATAATTCATGGGGATCAATAGTTTCTGATCAATGTGCTTCTGAGTACTTAAAGACAGTTTTAAATCTGTTTTGACTGATTTTACACATTATATATGAGAACAATCATAACTGTTTTATCAGAATTTTATCTCACCTGTTTTGTCTGTGGTGTAAAGCTAACTGCTGCTGCTTCCTCTTGGCCAGATCGTCGTTGTAAAGCAGAATGAGTTTTCAATCCACTCATCCATTTAAATAAAGGTTAAAATTTAAAAAATGTAGGTGATTAATGTGGTTTAATTCATTTGTTCAGTAGCAAGAAAACTCCTCTTGCCACTGCACGCTCAGTTCCACATGGGGGCAATCATGTCAAGTGACTGGGTTTTAGTTTCCTGCTGTCATGGGGCCGCTGAGATATATAGATCTATTTGTCTTTTTACTCACTTCACAGCCTTTCAGTTATTTTGTCAACTTCCCAGCATGTCTTAATTTGTCCAAACCAGCTGCTTGGTGCTGTTGGACATGTGGCGGACTGAAGAAAAGTCTCTCCAGCAGCCGGAAAGGGCTGGGCTGGGGAGCCTCTCATTACTAAAGGTTAGATCTGTCACATCACACATGCACATAAAGCTCTAATGAGCAGCTGGAGTGACAGTTCAGGGGACTCCTTTTGCTAAAGCCCTCTGATCCTCCCTTTGGGATGCAGCACTTCCTGCGGTCTAAAGGAAGAGCAAATTTGTTCAGATTACACACTAAACCTTAAAGGGGGAAGAAACAGCTTTTGTGTTGCTTTTTCTCTGAGGAGCGATGCACGTCCAAAGGCTTCATCCTTAGATGCACCAAACAGAAGTGTTTAAGTCATAATTCAGATGCTTCTGGGTACAGGATGGATGCGGGTGCTTCTGGGGTGGATGCTGTGATGTAAGAGGAGGTGGGGGTGGGAGCGCCTCTCTCTCCCCCATAGAGCGCAGCATGAGCGCTCCGCAGCAAAAGGATGTGTGAGCAGGCAGCGCGCTACTGTAGGGACGGAGTCCACAAACTGCTGAACAAAGAACAAGCCAAACTTCGAGCCCAGGAGAGCCGAGAGCAGCCGAACCCCGTAGCCGGTCAGGACAGCGAGTCCGCGACGGCAGCGCAGTCCGGAAACAGCGGCGCCCAGCCCGGTGGAATCGACGGGCTCGTCCGCTGGATCGTCACCAAAATGAGCGACAACAAGAACGTCTCCAGCCGGGAGTACGCCTCCAGCAAGGAGGAGGTGGCCGTGGCCCAGGAGCAGTTCTTCGCCCCCGAGCCGCGGAGAGGCATCTCGGTGATTCTGGATGTGAGTATGAGGCACCGGGAGGCGGCCAGCCCCGCCAGGAGCGGGTGGGTGCATGGAGACATCCAGGGAGCGGTGCGCACTTACGCACAGACAGTTTAGGTGTCCGGGATCAAACCGGCGTCCCTCTCCTCTGCATCTGCACCATATCAGAAAATTCAAACTTTGCACGTTTTAACTGTCAGTCCACATAAATCCTGAGGCTCTCCAACTGCGCTGCAGACATGTTCCTGTGTTAACCTTCAGAGTGATAACTGCGTGCCTGTAGCATTTCTGGTGTTCAGGTCAGACCAGTTTTATTTTACTGTGCTTTAAAACGAGTTGATCTCAGTAGAAAAAAAGAAAAGAAACGTAGAAACACGTTGTGTAGACCCCCCCCCCCCCCCCCAACTTGTTATAAATTAAGATTTTTCAAACATTTTTTTTTTCTTTTTTCCTCTCTATCATACCATACCACTTTATTTGTAGAACGCTCTTAACACGGCACTACAACCGACCAAAGCGCTGGACATAAAGACAAATAAATAAAAAACAAGCTAAAATAGTCGTGCATATCATAAGAAGTAAAAAGGATAAGAGTTAAAGAACAACAAACTAAAGCCAATAAAACAAGTAAAACCAGAATATAAAAACACAAATTTTAACTACCTGGCAGCTAAAACTGTTTCCAGCTGAGTCTCTGACACCAGCCTTTGAACTTTTTCTGACATTTTCTTCTTTCTGCATAACTTTGACCTTTCAAACGTGAATTTTCTGGCCCCTTTCCAGCATATCTGACCCCAATATTCTTACTTTACACCAAATGGGCTTCCTGGTGTGTCCCTGAATGCAGCATTTCCCTCATTAGACCGACTTGTTCTCCTTCTCTGAGTCTACCCTGAACCCATTTTTTATTCCGTCTCCTCTCTTCCAACAGAAGCATATTCCTAAGGTGAAGGCATGCCTCCTCTTTGTGTCTTTCTCTTTAGTCGTGACTATTTTTTTGTCTCTTTCTGTTGTAACTCTTCACCATCACCTCCTCCTCCTCCTCAGTGAGACTCTTTCCCTCCTTCCCAAGCTTCCCTGACTCCAGCAGCTCCAGCTCTGTTCTGAGAAGCTGAACATGGCCCAGGGTGCAGATGCAGAGCAGCTTTTCAATTGGAGTGCGGCTCTTTCAGCTCCTGTTGCCCTTTATTTAAGAGTTTAGTCACAAAAATGTCTTGATGAGTTTCTGTGCAATAATTTAGCTGACTAAACTAAAAAAAAAAGTTTTTGGGTCGTCACGATCTGTTTGCCCATTAACTTCTGACTTTGGTCTCTACTGTTAACATTCATCTTATTCAGAAGATCATGTCTTTGAAAAGCACATTTTTTTTAGATTTCCTGTAATCTGACTAATCCAACCAGACCAAATTCAAAATCTGTGACTAAAGATCACATCCTCTCGTTTTATTCTACAAATATCTTCTTTAATATTGTTTTAAAATGCATCTCATGATCACTCAGCACGTCTTGTCCTGCCGGTGGCTCGTGTGTCAATCATCCTCAACCTCCATGATGAAAGTATTCTAAAACGTTGAAGGTCCTCGGAGGGGGGAGCTTTCCCTAAAATGATTCAGATTCACTCCCAGCTTGTTCAGCTGCAGCTGTGTTTGGTTCGGTTTGGTGTGGTAAGCTAACTCCGGTCCAGCTGTGTGGGATTCAGTCTGATCCGTTACCAGTTATTCACCAGCTGGTTTCTGTTTTCCCAGCATGACTCTTCTGTCAGCTGGAAGGAGGTTTATGACACAAACATTCACTATTTTATAGGTTTCCCTCCTTAAACTCCTGAAAACGGGAATCTATGGGTTCCATAGAGGTTTTTATTTTTAATTTTCTGCTTAAATTATTTCTTGGAGGCAAGAATAATAAGTAGTTTCCACTGGTGAGAAACAACATTATTTTAGTGACCCAAACAAGAAAGAAGAAACCCCAAAAGTAAGCCCTGAGGGACACCTTGAAAAACAATTACACTAAAGCTAATTTAAATTATTAATAAATGTTTAAAGAAATTACAGATTTGTGAAATAATCCAGTGTTTAGGTGTTAACATTTATTAGATGAGGCTGTTTTCAGACACACAATGCTTCAATTTAACTCTTTAGGCTTGAAATATGAAAAACTAACGATTGAAAATACTGAGTTTAAAACTAAATAAAACAATAAGATATGGTGTTACTTTAAGAAATACAACAAGATTAAGAAATAGTGCTTGATGTGTCTCAGGTTAGGACTTCATACCTGGTGGGTTACTGGTTCAAACTGGTTTGATCAAGTACTTTTGTGAATAAAAATTCATATTTCTGTACCAAGTTGTTGCAGAAAATCTATAGGAACTCACACAAACTGGATAATCAGATGCTGAGAGGTTTTTGGAACGTTGTTGAAAGGTTCGCTCCGTTCTTTAGTCCGGAAACATTCTTGTTTAGCAGATGATACGCTACTGTACTTACAAAAGAGAACTCTCAAAATAATTGGTTTTATTTGGTTTATTTGCACATTTTATTTAGTATTTAGAACCTAAATGTAAATGTGAAATAAACATTTCCCAAACATAAGTTGTGTTTAGAGAAATGCTTGCTGTTTGTCACTAAAATGTCCTTCTTTCTGTCGTTCACAGATCTTCAGAAGAGCCGACAAAGATGGTGAGTGATGTTCTGGACTGCTGGCTTCCTGTAGCCTGGCCAGCCATGCCAACGTTTCCTTATGTAGAACAGACGGGCCAGGCTAGGTTTCCCAAGACATGAAATCTAAACACATCTGAGTGCTTCTTCATCTGATCCTTTAAAACTCAGATGGAAATAAAATTGTTGTTCCATTAGTCACAGATCCAATCACTTTTTCCATTTTAACTCATTCGCTGCCAGCGTTTTTCACCGTTTTTACTGTTTTTTAAGAGTCACAGGACGTTGCGCGCTAGGATGATGTCGACGCCAAAACAACCAAAACAAAGCGGAGACTCACCTCTTACATCAGGAAGAACCCGCGCGTTTCGAGCGTTATCCGTTCTTTCATAATCCTTTGTTGAATTGTTATCGGCAGAAGTTTTTCCGGTTCGCACCTCACTTTTTTTTTACAGCAGCGGCCCAAAATGATCTCCTAACACATGGATGTTCTGCTTCCTGATCACGTAAGCGGATGAAAATCGGCTGTAGAGCTGCGATGTTTGTTCTCACGGTGCGGGGGCTCGTCCGACGCCCACACAGTAATAAAATGCGAATGACGACTTCAGTCGTCATTCGCAGTGAATGAGTTAAATAACTTTGGTTTTAGGATTTCTTTCTTATGTTTTACTTATTCAAACAAACATCGTCTAAAATTATTTAACATTTTTTGTCAACACTTTAACCTTTCGTGGTTTTATTTTATTGTAATAAAATTATATTAAATTAATCTTTGTTTATTTTAACGAAAGATCACCCGATCCTGCGTGCTGCCTGAGATCACGGAGAACATTATCTCACAGATTTGACCAAAATGACAACATAGCCATCATTTCTCAACATGATCATTGTTTAAAACTCTGGATGATCAGCAAGCCTTTGTTTGAATGAACCTTTATCATCCCACGATGCTGGGAAGTGTTGTGGTCCATGATGGATGTCTGCTTGGACACCATCCTCTCCTCTCCAGCATGATCGATGGACCTGAGCGAACAGTCCGTGACTGAAGAGTCTGTCTTCACTGCTTTTCTACTTTCCTATGCTCAACCAGCAAACTGCAGCATAAAAGATGGCGGACGCTGCAACAGTAGATGGTCCTTAAGCGTCAGCCCTGAAACTGTCAAGAATAAAAGTGTTGAAATCACGTTAAGTGAGAGGGGTTTGGGGAAAATATCTTCCTAAACATGTTTTTTATCGACCATATTATAACTTCTAAAAAATGTCATTGATTATATCTCTGATAGTTGGTGAAACAAACAAAACAAGAGTTTGCAGACCATTGCTTGCAGATGGTTGATAGGAATGTTTCACAGGCAAATTTAACAAGAGCACAGGAAGAACAGGTGAATTAAGCCTGGTTTATGCTCCTCCGTCAGCTCCGCAAGGGACAGACACGCACGGAATGACGGAAGTGTTTTGCTCTCATACTTCTCCGTCTCCTGGAGAGTGTTGCAAAGCAATTCCCCACCAGGACAGCAGAGGGCGTAGCGCTGTTCTGTGGTATTCTGTCATTATCCGGTCCAAGATAGTGTGTCTGTATTGTGTTTTTTGTATATAAGAGACTTTTTAACACAGACATATTTGTCTCTCATCCTCCTCCACCTCTTCATGCGCTCCCCACCTCTAAACCCACGTTTCCTGTCATTTCCGTCCACAAATAAAACGCTTGCTGAGCATCTTTTCACTCCTCCAGTCACGGGGGAATGAAACGTTCATGTTTTTAGAGTTTTTTCGCGAGGTATTCTCCAAGCTGCTCCGCGTCTGCCGCTAGTTATCCTCGGCTCTCTTTATGTTTTTGAGGGCGCGATGGCGGCGCTGTAAACAACAGCGGCGTCCTGACCAATCACAAGCTTGCGTCGTCCGTCTCGACTGACGAATGTTTTGAAAAAAGAGCTCGACTCCGTCCGTCCTTGCGGAGCTCTCCGGCAGGTCCGCAAGGACGTTGCGTGTCTCCACAGTGACGCAGACGGCGAAGCACGAATCAGGCTTTAGCGAGGGCTGCGTTCCAGTTACACTAGTCAACATGCAAAGCTGCAAAAGTGGAATGCGGCCCTCATTAATGCACATCTGCTTTCCCTACCATGCATCACCAATCACAGGAGAAGCTGCTCCAGGATCTGTCTGGTCTGTTGGTCCTTCGGACACCAGATTGTTTATTCTGTTCGGAGATCTTGAAGCAGAACCCTGAGCTTCTGCTCGGAGCCGTATTTTTATCAGCTTGTTGGGACACTGAAGTGTTTTCAGAGGGTGTTCCAGTGCAGCTATGCCAGTGAGCAGTTTGTTTATATCCTCTGGCATCTGCTATTCTCTCTTTTCTTCCTGCTCAGCCCATTTCTTTTCATCCTCTACATCTTCTTATCTCTCTTTTCACTGTGTGGTTGACAGAGAAGAATTGAACTAATGAGGAAATGGCAGAAAGAGCTTTGCTTTTCATCGCAGCCAGATGGTCACTTGCTCTTCCAGTGTGTGTGTGTGTGTGTGTGTGTGTGAGGGAATTCTCTTCAAGCTGATAACTCTTTTGCTTTCTCTCCAACGCAGCTAGGGTCCCAACATTTATCTCTGTGAATCACAGCTACGGGGGCTTATTCAGTCATGCCTTAGTCATTTGCCTAAGTGGAAACAAACTCCTAAAGTTCAGCAAACAGAAGCAACGTTCACCTTCTTGTTCCCGATTCTGCCTCTGCAGCATTAGCTGACAACATGTGAATGCGTGCATCTCCTAATTACCAACCGCTCCAACACGAAACATCAGTCAGGACACGTTTTGGTGTTTTCTGGTATTCCAAAGCACTTATGAGGCCCTCATAAGCAGCGTCTTCAAAGTCGAGCTGTCAGATTGTGTGAAACTTTCTGATAGAGTCTCCCGGGGCGGTTTCATTACGGGTGCACGCTGGCTTTGGAGATGCAGACGGGAGTTTGTGTTTGGGCGAATCGATGAATGGAGAAAAGAGCCTCAGCAAGGACTGATGATGGTTATTATGGAGAAACGTTGGTATTTGATGTATGGAACACAGGCTGGGTAATAAAAGTAAAGAAGAAACGGTGAGCATGAGCTGAAAAAGGCTATTTTTACTCTCTTCTCTCCTGGGAGAAGACGAGGAACTGCTTTAATGAGTGAGACTGAGAGCAGGGAGATGCTAAAGGGGAAAGGAGAGGATTGTTATGAAGAAAAGAGGGTTGTGGGGGCGGGTGGGCGGGGAGGTTGGAAGCAGCATGACAGGGAGTAGCATATGAGGATGTACTTGGCTTTACATTCATCGTGCATATCTCAGGACTGCTGAAGCTGCAGATTGGGAGGACGTGTGATGTGCAGCAGATCCATGCAGCATCCATCTGTGAGGCGTGTTAAACGCTCACCGAGATCGTTTCAGGGAACTTTTGTCTTTTCATCCAGGTGTTTGTGATACAACTCACACATGTTGTTATGCAGCTTGGGGAGTTTTTCCAGCAGCCAGCTGGCCTTTGAACCAGTTGCATCATCTAACAGCACTTTGTAAGACGTGCAGCAGCTCCAGTTGCAGAGTGGGTTTTCTGCAGCTGGTTTTCTGTTTACTCAATTATATCAAGTTGTTTTTGCGTTTCTGTTTCAGAATTAGATTTAAATCGTCATCTGTCAAGAGGCTTGATTTGCTTCTCAACCAGTTAACAACAGTAGGAAAGAGAGAGATTAAACAAAACATACAACAATACAATACAATGCAATGTAATGTAATATTATATAATATTATATAATGTAATGTAATTTTATATAATATAATGTTATGTCATATAATATTTTATAGCATAACATAACATTTTATATAATATAATGTTATGACATATATATATATAATATAATATAACATAACATAATATAATATAATGTAATATAATATAATATAATGTAACGTAATGTAATGTAATATTATGTAATGTAATGTAATATTATATAATTTATATAATATAATGTAATGTAATATTATGTTGTATAATATAATATAATGTAAGAGAATGGAATAGAATATATTTTGAATTTAAATGAAAACTCTAAATATCTTATATGAAATGCACATATTAGTTGTTTTTTAACCCTTTGATGCATGAATTATGAAATCTTCAACCATGATTTTTTTAAACAATTTTTTTTCATTCATCTTTAGGTGTGAATGAAATAAATTTCAACAAATATTTTTGTGACATTTAATAATTTACAAATAATTTATAACATGTCCACCTCAGTGGACAGCGTGCGTTCTGAACATGAAACACGTTGGCTTGACTTACTGAAGTCCAAATGGAGGAGTTCAAATGCAATAAAGTCTTCAACAGCTGTGCTTAATAGCAAAAATAAGTAACTATTTTGAGTACCTGTCCACTGTAGTGACCATTATGCATCAAAGGGTTAAGGTAAAAATTTATTATTAAGATAGAATTTTTTAGTTTTTAGGCTTAAAACCTAATCTTCTCACTAAAGTCTGATAGATACATCAAGATCTCAGATGAGTGGGTTAAAGTTCGTCAGCAAGTCTTAAATGATAAAATAAATCATGTCAGTCATATAAATGTATTTATTTTAGGATAATGACCTTCCAAACACAGACTTAAATGCTTAATCAACCTAATTTTTATCATTTCTTCTTCTTCCTGAGTTAATTTAGTAAAATTCTGCTTTGAGTACAAGCATTAAACTATTTTAGCAGGAAATCTGACTACATTTTTCTGCTATAATGAAGACTCTGTTTTTCGTGTGGATTAATAAATTAAATCCGGTTACTAAAGATGATCATGAAGCATTTAAATATTTAATATTGAACCTCTGGACTGCAGTGGAGCTTTACTGAAAAAACAAAATTTTTACAAAAGAGGAACGTTTGAATTATAAGTTCAATATTTTAATTTATGTTATTAATTCCATCAAAAATATTATTATTTCATTACATTAGAACAGTGTTTGCCCCAGAAGAAGAACAAATTCTGAGATTTACTCATGGTTTGGACTTTAG